TCTGATGCATTATGAGTGAAGTAAAAAAAATGAAAAATGGTTAGGTGTTTCTGCTGTCAATACTCATACCGAGGCAGTTTACCGCATTCCTTGCTGACCTTTGTCAAATTATTGAAGGAAAGAAGGACATAGGAAAACTTAGCGAATTCTCGAGTAAATGGATGGCGGAACAGGGTTTAGGAGAAATAACAGAAAGACAAAATTTATTCAAGAGCTGAAAGGGAGAGGAAGTTGTGGAGAGATATGATCGGAGAGGGGACACGGTATATAAACAAGAAGCCTTTAAAAGGCATTAACCAATCCCTTATGCCAAGTACTTACTATCTGTCAAAAAAAAGCCCTCAATTTCAGTTTGAATGGCAGCGTGTCCTAGCGTCAAATTCTGCCGGTCACTCTTTGAAACATTTTCTCTGCATAAAACTCGAAAAGAAATTGTCTGTTTAATCCGCAAACAAAACGCGATGTAATTTTATTTATATATATATATATATATATATATATATATATATATATTTCTTATACTGATAACATTTCTATTATTATATATATATATATATATATATATATATATATATATATATAATTAATAGAAATCTTATCAGTATAAGAAACTATACTCTCTCGGAAAACCTTCAGTGTGTTGATTTGCAAATAAACAAGCCAACAGACTTGTTAGCCGGCCTTCCCTGGCGATCCGCTTAGGTGAAACCTTGGTAGGGTTGTCTGGCTCTCTAGGTTTAACTATATATATATATATATATATATATATATATAGAGAGAGAGAGAGAGAGAGAGGTAACTATACCCGTTTCGAAAAACCTTTGAATTTGTGATTTGCCAATAATCAAATCAATCTCGAAGGAAAAAAAGGTTTTAAAAAAAGAAAGAGCTAGAAACATGAAAGTCTGTCAAAAGAAATCGCACAGATACAGGTTCAAAGCCCAAAGAAAAAACCCCGATACGAGAAAACAACTAATAAGAACAAAGGATAAAATGAATTGTCTGGCTCACTAGGTTATATATATATATATATATAGCGGATACACGTATCTGAGTAGGTGCCACGTTTATTTATTAAACAGTGTATTTATTTAGTCATTTCGAATATTCGAGAGGTTTCATTAAAGAAAAATGTGCGCTCTCCGACAGGATTTGAACCTGCGTCCCTCAGGGTAGATGAAGCTAACGTTAAGCCCGGCACGCTCTAACCAACTTAGCCATGAAGAACAGTTGGCCAGGTGAGACCAAATTTTGTGTCTTTAAACGAAATTTCTCGCGCCATATAGTGTTTTTTGTGGGATCAGGTTGGGATTATAGACAAATGACACCATTGGAAAATTCGTAAACTTAAGAAATCAGCACATATGCTAGGCCACAAAAATCTCCTGAGCCGACCAAGCATAGAAATGAATACAATATGGGAACAAGTAATAAGGAGTGCCAGAGAAAAGCGATAACAACAACAAAAAATTGCAATATGAGCTCCGGAATTTTTCCGTTATTATTATTACTGCATATTTATTTTTATTTTTTTACCAGAGCTTATATTGCAATTTTGTGTTGTTATTCATTGTTTAAGTCTCAACTGGTATACAAGGCACGGTGCCTACCTGAGGGAACATCCGTTTATCACGATTGGTGAAGGTTCTGGGCGATGGGGGAAGGTTACTAGTTTGGACTTTGAGGCACTGAATGTGACGAACATGTGTTTTTTTTTTGTTTGTTTGTTGTTTTTTTTTGTTCACACTGAGCTTCTAGAGTTAGGTCAGAGGAAAGGTGTTAGAATATTCCTGGCGAACCGGTCCTGCTGATTGCTAACAAACGATCATCGCTGGTTACTGCAGATTACTGTAGCCTTGTGCCAAACATAGCTCGGTTTAGTAAAGATCAACAAAGATTTGTATAAACACATAAATATTTATCAAAAAAAAAATGCTCACTTATTTTCTTAAAAGTTATTCAGTAGTCCGCCAATAGAAACAGAAATAGCGCAGTAAAACTAAAACTGATTTATACTCCAGCTTGCACGCATACAAAAACAAACAAACAAACAAAAAACAAAAAAAACAAAGAAAATTAAAAGAAATCGTGCGCATAGAATATTTAAAATAAAATATATCATCATATCTTGTGAAATACGACACACTAACTAAATGGCAAATCTTGGAGAAGGAAAAAAAGAAAACAAAAAACCTCGAAAGAAAATTTTAAATCAGCAAGTAGAAAATTACAACAGCGAATAAAAATTAAACAAGAAAAACATCTTGGTAAAATATGAATAGAAAATTTGAGAGGACATTTATGGAAAAAAAAGAACACGTTTCCGAGAAAGTTTGCTAAAGAGAAAGTCAAACTGAGAATGTTTATGCATATATATATATATATATATATATATAATCTTCTGTCTTCTCAGATGTCTCAGTTTAAGATCTTGTTTGCCGTTTCTTCCAAGTTTTGCTTTTGTCTTTTCGATGTTTAAAGTTTTCTGCATGGGAATTTCTTCTGTTTTTTTTTTTTTTTTTGGCCTGTGTATGTGCGTGAAATTGGGGAGACCGGTGGGGGGACAGTTCGGAAGTTGTCGATAGTTGTGCTACAAAGTTAATCACAAATACATCATGGCCGATGGTTTTGGCGTACTGGCCTTGTAAACGAAAAAAAAAAAAAAAAGGAATAAGTAGATCACGCGAGATTATCGTCTCACTCCCCCAGAAAGTCTATGAAATCATTCCCGTGCTCCAAAGTCGCTACCGAATGTGGTAAAAGGTCGAGATTTAACTTGGGTTTTAACGGCAATACCGTGGATTAAAAACAGAAAAAAATTAACTCAAGACCACTCGGTACTTCCCCTGTTTGAGGACGCCTCAGTCACCGGACAATAAACCCAGCCGCCTCTCCCTGTCGAAGGAGAGGTACTGCCTGGTGGAGGATTTGTTGACTTGAGCTTGAGCGAAATGCTATTTTAAAACATTCCCGGCAAAGGTGCCAGGGATCTATAACTAAAGTCTGCTCAACGTGGTTGAAATATAAACTGGTAGATTCTTTGGGTTAAACAATGGTTTGTTATAGGGTGTGACTAGCCACCCTAGAAGACGGGCAGACTCAGAAACGAGTAGATAATGTGCGTATATATGTGTGTGCAAATATATAGAAAAATAGGAAAGAACACGTTAGGTAAATAATCCGGAGTTCTTTAGTATTTTTGTTTTTATTCAAAAAAAAAAAAAAAAAAGTGTTCCATACAAAAGTAGAGCTTAAATTATAATTATTTTTTTAAAAAAAATATAGTTCCTTCGTTACATAAGAGTTCTCATGTTTCAAAAACAAAAACCAAAAACTTCAACATAATTATTTACATTATTCGGACTATTGTCCTCGTCTTTGTCGCCATATTCATTACAACGTTTCGGCCGTTGTACGCTCCAGCCTTCTTCAGGTGGTTGGCATGTCGAACTGAACCCTTTATTTCAAAATGTTGTAATGAATATGGCAACAAAAAGACAAGGATCTCAGAAATATAGACAGATACAAAATGGACCGAATAAATATGGCGACAAAGATGAGGACAATAGGTCGAATAATGTAAATAATGTACATAATACCTCATCTCAGAAATATAGACAGATACTGAAAGGCCGAAACGTTGTAATAAATATGGCCACAAAGATGAGGACAATGGTCCGAATAATGTAAATAATGTACATAATACCTCATCTCAGAAATGTAGACAGTTACTGAAAGGCCGAAACGTTGTAATAAATATGGCGACAAAGATGAGGACAATAGTCCGAATAATGTAAATAATGTACATAATACCTCATCTCAGAAATATAGACAGATACTGAAAGGCTGAAACGTTGTAATAAATATGGCAACAAAGATGAGGACAATAGTCCGAATAATGTAAATAATGTACATAATACCTCATCTCAGAAATATAGACAGATACTGAAAGGCCGAAACGTTGTAATAAATATGACGACAAAGATGAGGACAATAGTCCGAATAATGTAAATAATGTATATAATACCTCATCTCAGAAATATAGACAGATACTGAAAGGCCGAAACGTTGTAATAAATATGGCGACAAAGATGAGGACAATAGTCCGAATAATGTAAATAATGTATATAATACCTCATCTCAGAAATATAGACAGATATTCAACATAATTGTTAAAATTAAATTGAATTAAAGTATCAAGCCCTGTTTCATCCTCAAGCGAAAATTTAAGAATAACTACTCTTGAAGTTTACGCATTTTTATAAACATGTTCATTCGTAAAATTAATTACTATGGAAATGGCAGAAGCAACCATTTTGATAAGGGGCGTAAGGTTTAACAATTTGTATCAAGATATCAGTCACCTCCAGAAAGAGGCTAAGCCAAGGCAGGGCCCAGTTTTCCATTTAAAGGCGAATGGTGGCATTCATATACGAACATCTTTTAGTTCGTCTCAGCGACAGAGTCATTGGCACCTTCGTTCGTTGTTAAGTGTCTGAAAAATTTCTTTTTTTGCATATATATATATATATATATATATATATATATATATGGAGAAAAATATGGAAAAATAAAAATCCGAATATGCAAGTATGCTGCTTTAATGTTGTTTCAATGTCGACATCAGACGTTTCGGTCTAGTACACCTTCTTCAGGACACAGTTATTAAAAACATAATTAAAATTAGATGATATTCAAGTCAAATTTTAGATCAAAATAAAATTCTTTTTCATTTAAAATCTACTCTATTCTAGGAATACGTTTTCACAACATCGCCCACGTGACGCCCACGTGATCATATTGCAAAACGGAACGCTGATCTTAAAATTTTCAGTTATTCTGTTTTGATTAGTCTTATGTCTATCGTCTTTTCATGTTGACTTGAATATCATCGAATTCTACCTGTACATGTGTATGTGGGTAAGGAATGGAGTCTGTTATGATTGTTGGGACATTTTCTTCTTGGATATCTGTATAGACTCACAGGAAGGAAAGATTAATTAAAAGACACGATGTAGATTAGAAAAAGAAACCGTTAGATAGATATATATGTAGAGACTAAAATAGATAGATAAAGAGAGACTAAGGAGAGACTGAAATATATAAGGTGAGACTGAAATAGATAGATAGATATGAACAGAATAGATAGATAGATAAAGGTGAGAATGAAATAGATAGACAGATAGATAGATAAGGTGAGACTGAAAAAGATAGACAGATAGATATGAACAGAATAGATAGATAGATAAGGTGAGACTGAAATAGATAGATAGATATGAACAGAATAGATAGATAGATAGATAGATAGATAAGAGACTGAAATTAATAGATAGATAAGGAGAGGCTGAGATAGACAGATGAGGAAAGACTGAAATAGACTGATTAAATAGATTCGAACTGCAAGCCACCTGCTTTGTTTTTTTATTGTAAGTATCTGTATAGTAACTTTATTGCCACCCTGTGTATGTATGTGTATATATATATATATATATATATATATATCACAGATTCAGCTGACCTCCTGATTTTTAAGGTATCACACGTATATAGATAGATAAACAGATATATAGAAAGAAACCAACTAAGATAGATACATAGACATACACAGAAAAAAATGAACAGACTGATGGATAGATAGTTAGATAATAAAAGAATAAGATAGATAAATAGACCAAGAAGGATAGATTGATAGATAGATAGATAGATATGAATAAACTGAGCTACGGTCTGAAAGATGTAGTGTGAGTCTTCTTGTAAAACATTTTGTAGTGCGGCCCATATAATTGTTTACGAATTTTGATTGATCAGGAATACAAATTCTTAATGGATATTTAAACTTGTAAATAATATTTGTTCTATTTAATTTTGTTCTAAGAGGTGAATTGTTATTTCTAAGGTTGGATTACAAACAAGATGAAATCTATCGATTGATAGATATGTATAGAGTGAGATAAATGGACATGAATAAACTGAGATAAATAGATAGATAGACATGAATAAAGTGAGATAGATAGATAGATATAAACAGACTGAGATAGATAGATATAAACAGACTGAGATAGATAGATATAAACAGACTGAGATAGATAGATAGATATAAACAGACTGAGATAGATAGATAGATATAAACAGACTGAGATAGATAGACAGAGATATGAACAGACTGAGATAGATAGACAGAGATATGAACAGACTGAGATAGATAGACAGAGATATGAACAGACTGAGATAGATAGACAGAGATATGAACAGACTGAGATAGATAGACAGAGATATGAACAGAATGAGACAGGTAGATATGAACAGATTAAGATGGCTAGATCTGTACAGAGCTAGATAGATATGAACAGACTGAGATTAGATAGATAGATAGATATACACATATAGAAAAACAGATGAAGGCAAACATAAACTGACAAGGACACACTGAAAAAGAAATTCTGCCTTCAACTGCGAAAAATCTGACAAAGGCTGCAATTTTATAACTTTAATTATACCCGTTTGTTGAAATAAACATGTGTGTGGGCTGGTTATAAGAATAATACCTAACCAGCAGGTGTGGAAACGTGTTTTCTCTGAAATTAATCGCTAAAGATATGGCCTTTACCTGGATTTGAACATCTATCTGATGGAGCTGAAGGTCATCTCGTCACCTATCTGAACAGAGTGCAATTCCGATCAGTTCATCAAGAGATCAATAGAAATATTTGATATTGTGCAGGAACAAACCTATTAGATTTGAGAAAATCGGTTGACTGACAGATGAGTCAAGAAAGATGGGGAAAATCAAAGACGACTGTTTTAAATTAATTATTGCGCATGCTGATGGGAAAGATGTGGGTGGTCTGATGGTTAAATAGCAGTGAAAAAGGAATTAGTGACTCATGTTCAATCTCTGCCTGGGAAAGTTTACACCAAACACACTCTGATACACTCAAGAAAGACATCAGTCCACACCTGCATAGCAATTATGGATAAAAGCAAAGTAGTGGCAGCAGTTTAACTATCTATCTGTACCTTCAAACTATATATCTTTGTTCTTGTCTATTGATATATTGCAGTCAGTTCATATCTATCTATCTATCTATCTATCTCTGTTCATATCGATCTATCTATCTATCTATCTATCTCTGTTCATATCGATCTATCTATCTATCTATCTCTGTTCATATCGATCTATCTATCTCCGTTCATATCTATCTATCTATCTATCTCCGTTCATATCTATCTATCTATCTATCTCCGTTCATATCTATCTATCTATCTATCTATCTCCGTTCATATCTATCTATCTATCTATCTCTGTTCATGTCTATCTATCTATCTCTGTCCGTTAATGTCTATCTATCTATCTCTGTCCGTTAATGTCTATCTATCACTGTTCATATCTATCTAACTATCTCTGTTCATATCTATGTCCATTCATAGATATCTACATTTCTCAGTCTGTTCATATCTATCTATCCCAAATTGTTCATATCAAATTGAGTTGATTCATATCTTCCTAATCTCAGTCTATTCATATCTCTCTATCTAATCATCAGACTGATCATATCTATATATCTATCTTTGTCCGTTCATACTCATTTATCTATCTCAGATAGATAAGGACAAACTGAAATAGGTAGATAGTTGTAATTTGTAATTTCTTTGGCAGACTGAGTTTAAGGCTCACCCTTTCTGACATGTTCAGATGTCAAGGAGATTTTTATCTTTTTAATTTTTTTCATTATTTCCATAAACATCATATCAATCGTGAAGCAGGGAAATAATGTGCTGTCTGTGGTCAGCAACATTCCTTTGTGAGGTTATTGAAAGCATTCAAACAAAACAATTACACACAAATCTTTCCTATCGACATATACAAATATATACATCCACAGTTACATACATATACAAACTATATAAATATATATTAAAGATTACATATGAATATTGACATAAGCAAAAATACAGGATGTGATGTTAAAATTGTTGCAAGTCAAAGATTTGCCTTGATAAAGTCCATCAGAGGATGTAACACACCATATAAGTTTTCCTTTTGTCTTTATATATATATATATATATATATATATATATATATTACATACATAGAAACAGAGTCCTGCACATTTCAAGGAAGAAAAATCTTGTCGTTTGTAATTTTATCAAATTGCAATAACACTGTTTACTGTAGTATGATATTTTTTTCAATAGATGGCATTAACCCAATGTCTGTAAAATCAACAAGTTCTAAAGGATGATGTGTATTGCAGAAAATTGCCTATACTGTCAGCCCTTAGACAAGAAATTGAAAATGCATGTACAGCAATCCCACTGGTTACTTTACTCAATGTTGCCGAAGCAGTAGTTTGCTGTACTAATAAATATCTGGAAGCTGAAGGCCACCATTTTGAGTGTCTTTTATGGTTGTAGAGCTCAAAGGTAACTTGTATTAATCTTGTGATGTCTGAATAAATTTAGTTTTACAATATCTATACAAGTTTTTCATTGGTGGCAGTGTATATATTTTTGGGTGGAATATATATATATATATATATATATATATATTATGAAATGGACTAAGTCTGGCAATTATTTTTCATATATTTTGTGTATGTAGGTTATTTTTATAGATACAAATATTTAAGCAAATGCTCTGTTTATAATAAACAGTATTAAAAACATTTACCGGCCTGAATATCCAAGAAATTTAATAGAAAATATGTGACCTTCGACAGGAATTGAACCTGTATCCTACATGGAACCGTCATATATACACTTCAGGAAAGAAAATACTTGTCCTTTGTAATTTTATCAAATTGTCATAACACTGTTTACTGTAGTATGATATTTTCTCAATAGATGGCATTAACCCAATGTCTGTAACATCAACAAGTCCTAAAGGATGTTGTGTATTGCAGAAAACTGCCTATACTGTCGGCTCTTAGACAAGAAATTGAAAATGCATGTACAGCAATCCCACTGAACCCTTTGGCCAATGTTGGCCAAGTTGAAGTCTGCCATACAAAATGTCTAGAAGGTAAAGACAACCATTTTGAGCCTCTTCTGTTGTTTGAAGAGGCCAAAGGTACGTTGTATTAATCTCATGAGGTCTGAATAAATTTAGTAATACAATATCTATACAAGTTTTTCCTTTCTTGAGGGTCAAATACTTTTTTGGCAGACTGTGTGCATATACATAAATATATACATATATATATATATATAGGCATGTGACCGAGTGGCTATATATATATATATATATAGGCATGTGACCGAGTGGCTATATATATATATATATATATATATATATAGGCATGTGACCGAAAGTATATATATATATATATATATATATATAGGCATGTATTGAGTGGCTATATATATATATATATATATAGGCATATATATATATATATAGGCATGTGACTGAGTGGCTATATATATATATATATAGGCATGTGACCGAGTATATATATATATATATATAGGCATGTGACCGAGTGGCTATATATATATATATATATATATATATATATATATATATATATATATATATATATATAGGCATGTGACCGAGTGGCTATATATATATATAGGCACGTGGCCGGGTGGCTAGAACGTTTGCTTTCTGACCATGAGAACTGGGTTTGACCATCGTCAATTTGTCAGGAAGGAGACTTCCTTTTGTTATCAAACTGGATCGAGGTTGATCCCAGTGTGCGGCACCTTTAGAAAGTGCCTGAAACCATACCATGGATTGACCTAAGCATTGTGAGTGAAATTGGGTAGACAGGACTCTTGAGGTTCATTGACAGCTGTGCTAGCATGAAGCCACAGTTCATTGTGGCCGAGGGGTTTAGTGTGCTGCCCTTGTTCAAACTGTTGATCACACTAGATAACACGCTCTCTCCCAGAAACTGTAACTAAGGTCTGCTCAGTATAGTTGCAGTATAAACCACAGGTGGGCTCTGTGGATTGTTGACCAAACTCAAATGTGTCAAATTGTGATAACACTGTTTACTGTAATATTTTCTCAACAGATGACATTGCCCTCATGGCTGTAGAATCAACACTTCCTGGGGGATGTTAGTATTGCAGAAAAATGACTAGATTTTCGGCCCTTAGATGAGAAATTGAAACTGCATGTGGACCAATTCCACTGGACACTTTGGCCAACATTGCCCAAGTGCAGTATTTCACTGTACTAATAAATGTCTGGAAAATAAAGGCCAATGTTTGAACATCTCTTGTGATTGTCGAGTCCAAAGCTAACTTGTATTAATCCTGTGATGTGTGAATAAATTTAGTATGACAATATCTATACTAGTTTTTCCATTTCTGAAGTGTGTATGCATTTTTTTGGCCAACTCTGTATATAAAATAAACCCACCTACACTGACGAAGAACTGCATTGCTTGTAAAAGAAAAGTAAAATATAATTAGCACCTGTGAGGAAAGTCAATACGCAGTTAGGTAGTTATTTACGCTATTTATATTATTTGGACAGTTGTCGTCAATTTTATTTTCATATTCATGACGTTTCAGTCATTGTACGCTCCAGCCCAAATATTATGAATATGAGAATAAAGACGTCGACAACTGTCCGAACAATGTAAGTAATGTAAATAATTACAATACCTCATGTCAAAAATATAGACAGATCCTGATGAAGGCCGGAGCGTACAACGGCCGAAACGTTGTGAATATGAGAATAAAGACGTCGACAACTGTCCGAACAATGTAAATAATGTAAGTAATTACAATACCTCATGTCAAAAATATAGACAGATCCTGATGAAGGCCGGAGCGTACAACGGCCGACACGTTGTGAATATGAGAATAAAGACGACGACAACTGTCCGAACAATGTAAGTAATGTAAATAATTACGATACCTCATGTCAAAAATATAGACAGATCCTGATGAAGGCCGGAGCGTACAACGGCCGAAACGTTGTGAATATGACAATAAAGACGTCGACAACTGTCCGAACAATGTAAGTAATGTAAATAATTACAATACCTCATGTCAAAAATATAGACAGATCCTGATGAAGGCCGGAGCGTACAACGGCCAAAACGTCGTGAATATGAGAATAAAGACGACGACAACTGTCCGAACAATGTAAATAATGTAAATAATTACAATATCTTATCTCACAAATATAGATACAGTGCGGTAAGTTGGTAGGTAGTTTAGTGTGCTTTATTGCGCTTTAGTGAATAAAAAAAAAACCCTGCTACCAAAGACAGCGGTTGTTCCGATAACAATTTTTCTACTACTTACGCCTTTTGTGAACATGCAGACAAGTGCACCTGTGCGTGGATGCAATTGCATTTGCATGGATAATAATGATGACTCATCCAAGACAATGGAGAGGAGCAGGAGGAGGCATAGATGG